AAAGCAAACCTTTTGTATATGAAAACCTGTACATATGGCAGATGATTTCCTCTCTCTCTCTCTCGCTATCTCTCTCTCTCTGTCTGTCTAACTCTCTCTCTCGCTTTGTTAACTTGTAAGACAGTTACACTAATTGTAAGAAGCAATCGCGATCAGTCGTTCGACCTGTAAAGACGTGAATTCGAACAGCCTTCGCTTAAGCTCTACTGCTGCAGAGTTCTAAAAATAGAACTTTGCGGTGCATTCTTCAACGCAACAGCAACAAAAACCGCACACGCAGCGTTTTCTTATCGCTTGCTTCCGCGTAACTCAATTGCTTTAATTGCAATTTACGAAATTTCGTCGCTTGGCGCGAGTGCGCCTGCACTCAAAAGCACAATCCGCGATGACATCTAATGTCAATAACCTCGCTACAGCTGTAAAGGTAAATGCAGAAATGCAAGCCCAGCTTAACGTTGTGATGGCAAATAGGCAAGCCTCCATCATGCCAATAAACTCAAAAATAGATATCGCCTCCGTGCAAGGCATCACTAACAACAAAAACACGAAACGTAAACAGCCAAATTCACCAAAAACCATCAAGAAAAGGCTCATCTTCGACGAACCAAGCACCAGCAATGCAGCATTAATATCAGAAAATCGATTTTCACTGCTCGTAGAAGAAGATGAAGACTACAGCGAATCACCTGTAGCTCCAGAAGCCCCAGTATTGACCGACCAGCAAACTACTCCGAAACCTCGTCCGCCCCCCATATGGTGTCCAAACATCAAGTCTGTGGCCCTACTTCAACAGATAATAGATAAAGTAATTGATGCTAAATCATACGTAATTAAGCCAAAGAAGAATAACATAGGTGTATTAACCCAATGCAGTGAGGACTATCGCAGAGTTATAGACCACTTTACTAAGCTGGAATTGGAGTTCCACTGCTACCAGCTTAAGGAGGACAAACCATATAGAGTCGTGTTCAAAGGGCTTCACTCCAGCACTGATACAACACTAATTAAAAAGGAATTGGAAACCAAAGGCCACACAATTACAAATGTGCACAACCCACTGAGCCGTATGGACAAAACACCGCTAAATATATTTTTTGTTGACGTGGCTCAGGCCCCCAACAACAAAGAAATTTTGGACATTCGAGTTGTCTGCAGGCAACGCTGCACAGTGGAACTGCCAAGAAGATACAACGACCTGACACAATGCCATCGCTGTCAAGAATTTGGACACACACAACGCTACTGCCACAAAGCTCCCAGATGTGTGCGTTGCGCCGGGAAACACGCATCCAAAGACTGCACCCGCGAAAAGGACCAGGCACCAACTTGTGTGCACTGTGAGTTACAGCACCCAGCCAACTATAAGGGCTGCCAAGTATACAAGCGGTTGCGCAAATTGCAATCCCCAGCACAAAAAAGGAGTCCCACACAAACACCGTCTACGGGTCCGAGTACTGCTTCCGAAATTACAAGGCCCCGGAGCATTACCCAAGCCACGAGCTTTGCAACGCCTATTAGTGGTGTTTCTTACGCACAGGCCGCTAGAGGTGGACCGTCAAATAAGAATACCACAAGTGACACTTTGTTCACTGAAATGCTTCAGCAACAACAACGTCAGTTTGACGCAATTAATGCCGAGCTCAAAGCGATGCGAGAAGTACAATCCCAACAAGCAACCATGCTAAACAGTTTAATGGCCATCATAACCAAGCTTGCCTACAAATAATGGCTTTACGTGTGGGTATCTGGAACGCCAATGGCCTGAGAAACAAGACTCAGGAACTGGCTGCGTTTCTCTCACAAGAAAACATAGATATAATGTTAATAACAGAAACTCATGAGTGCCCCACTACACAAATTTTCGGATACGAACACTATCAGGCTCATGGTGAAGGAGCAAACTGCTTTGGTGGATCCTCAATCCTCATACGAGCAACAATACCGCATACACCTTTACTGCCAATTTGCAACGCAACAATGCAGGTCTCAGCCATCACCCTGCCTACGTCTATTGGAGCGATCGAAGTTGCGTCAATTTATCTTCCGCCAAACACTGGTCTGTGTGATCATCACATGGAACAGGTTCTAGGCCAAAGGTTGAATAAGACCCTCATCGGCGGCGACTGGAATGGATGGCACCCATTTTGGGGAAGCAATAGTGCGAATCGTCGCGGAGAAGTCATATTTGAGGCGATTCAAAACTTACAATTCAGCATATTGGCGACTGGAGCCCCCACCCGTTACCCAATTAATGGACACAGGCCCTCGGCAATCGACTTCGCTGTCTACAAAGGCATCTGTGACCGGCAATTGACCATTGAAGAATCCTTGGACCTATCCTCTGACCACCTGCCACTAATAGTCACAATCCACGCGCAGCCACAGCCCTTGCCCATTAGGAAACAACTACTGCCAGCAGGATCAGATTTAGGAGTCTTTAGGCGCGAGCTCCATTACTCTTTGCACATAGAAATGGAACTTAACACTCCTGAAGACGTGGACTACGCAGCAAACAAACTGCAGGAAGAAATAGTCAAAGCTGCGCACCAAGCCGCCCCACCATCTTGCCAAACAAGACAACAGTCTCCGTACAACATCCCCCTCACCTTGGAGGCCCAACACCTACTAATACACAAAAGATGGGCCAGGAGACGCTGGTTAAGATTACGCACGCCTGATGCCAAATCCATGTACAACGAAGCCACGAGGCATCTTAAAGCTGCTCTCGCCCTGCTTCAAAAGAGGTGTATCAGCGATGCGCTGGTACGAGCTGAATCGCCCACTGACGCAGAGTTTCAATTATGGAAATTTACAAGAAAGCTCAAACGGCAGCCAATACGACGTCATCCCATTCGGAGCATTTCTGGTTCCTGGCACATTGGAGACGAAGCTCAAGCTGAGGCTTTTGCAAACCACCTTCAAGACCAATTCACGCCGGTGATTACCGCAGAGGCCTCAGAAATCGAAGCAACAGAAGACATCGTTCTCTCGCCCCTCCCAGCTGAAGACCAGATAACTGGATGTACAAAAGAAGAGGTTCTTGAACACATCAGAAGAGTGAAGGCAAAAAAATCCCCTGGATATGATCTAATAAACGGCAGAGTCCTTAGAGCACTGCCTGACTCCACCATAGACTACATAACTATGGTGTACAACGCCATGCTCCGCATCCGGCACTTTCCAGCCTGCTGGAAGCGCGCCGTGATTGTGATGATTCCTAAGCCTGGCAAACCCGTGGGAGAAATTGAGTCGTACAGACCAATTAGCCTGTTGCCAGTACTCTCCAAAATATTCGAAAGAATATTTCTGGAACGAGTACTGACACATCTGGGACGCCAGGAGGCCATTCCAAACCATCAGTTTGGCTTCAGGAGACAGCATGGAACACCGGAACAGGTTCACAGAGTTGTGCACCATATCCTTGGAGCCTTTGAAGAAAAGATGTACTGCTCTGCCGTCTTTTTAGACATCAAACAGGCGTTTGATCGAGTTTGGCACCTGGGACTGCTGCAGAAAGTGAGGACCACCCTTCCAGCCCCATTTTTCGCGTTGCTATCCTCATACCTTATTGGAAGAACCTTCCAAGTGTCAAGGGGGCAAACAGTATCCTTGACTAGACCAATTATGGCTGGAGTACCACAGGGTAGTGTTCTAGGCCCAACACTTTATACTTTATTCACAGGAGATATGCCAACTCCCGAGCCAAATATAGGAAGTACAGATGCAGTACTCATAGCGACCTATGCAGATGACACCGCCATCTTATCACGTCACGTATCTGCGCAAGAAGCTTCAGACTCACTACAAAAATATCTGGACTCTTTCGGACGCTGGGCAAAACGGTGGTGTATCACCATTAATGCACAAAAGTCTGTACATACTACCTTCGCCACTAGAAGAGGAGATTGCCCAAGCGTTGCATTGGGGCCCACTATTCCCAAAGCCTCAAAAGTAAAGTACCTTGGTATCACTCTTGACAGAAGGCTGACTTTTAAAGCGCACATAAGTCAAGTAACCTCAAAATGCAAAAGCAAGCTAAAAACCCTCGACTGGATGCTGAGAGCTTCAAGCAAGTTGTCTTACAGCAGCAAGGCCGCCATCTACAAGGCAATAGTTGTCCCAACCTTCGTATATGGTATCTCTCTATGGGGCTCCTCGGCGAAGACTACAAGGAACAAAATTCAGACCCTGCAGAATAAAGCACTACGCAGATGGACTGGAGCCAGCTGGTTTGTAAGAAACTCAGTCTTACATAGGGATTTAGCAATTCCCACAGTTGCTGAACTCATTGGGCGACACAGTTCAAGATACGCGGACAGACTTGCAGCGCATCCTAACCATCTCGCAAGCAACCTGGCTATAAACAACAATAGGCGAAGACTGAAGAGATTGCATCCTCTAGACAATATTAGAACTAATTAAGATAGTAGCTACAAGTGCAGAATAATTGGCATATCTGCCCTCCCATTAGTTAAGGTTTAGAGCTAAATGCGCTATAGAGTCTAAGACAATAAGCTGCAACAAAATAAAGAAATAAAAACGAAAAAAAAAAAAAAAAAAAAAAAAAAAAAAAAAAAAATTGTAAGAAGCAATCAAATCAAGTCTTTGTTATGAAAAAGAAACATAAGAGAAGAATTATAAGAAGCAGAAGCAGCAGCAGAAGAAGAAGATAAAGAAGAAAGAAGAAAGAACCTTAACCCTGCCATATAAGTTAATGTACATATATACTACTTATAAAATACTTATAAAGCACACTTCAAACGAAAAACAATATGAAGAAGAAGAAGATGAGAAAAACCAACTAATTATGATACAGTTAAACTTAGCTAATTTGTGTAACAGTTCTGCATTAAACGAAAAATTTTCAATTTATATCCCCGCCCTCTACTCACCCGCTGCCAATTCGCTTAATAATAATGTTCTCTCTCTTCGCATACTCCAACACACAACGCGATAACCCATATGCATATATATGTATATATATCTGCATATATATGTAGGTGTCTCATGTCAAAATCGATTCACCTGTTTTTCGCCTGCACACAAACGCAACGGTTATTTTACTGATCACATTCTCGATTGCTGTGACAACGCGGCAGTACGTAGGAAACCCCATAGACTGTGTACACACAAGGTAAGACCTCCATCAAGTGGCACAGCCCTCTCTCTAGATATATATACATCTTTTTCATATATATACCTTTGCAGAGACATTCCGGAAGATGTTCTCAACACATATTGTTGGATACACTCAACGTATACAGTTGTGGATGCGTTCATGAAAAAGCAAGGTTCCGAGGTGCCTTTTCCTGGAATTCACAATTCACAGGGGCGTGGCCCTCTAACAATAAAGCACACAAAATATTATCAATGGGTAGCGTTTACACTATTTTTTCAGGTAAGTTCCAAGTCAATACATAAAAACCGTTAATGAAAGTTCACATGAAAGTTCTGTGTAAAAGCTCTTTAAAAGCTTTGCAGCTTCTGTCTGAATATGTGATTTAGACACTGAGCAAAAAGCTTTAGCTGCATTGGCAAGCTATAAAAGCTTGCTGAGCTTTGGTACAGAATCATGCTAAAAGCTCTTTAACTTTAGCTGAACTGTTTGTCTTCAACTAGAACCCTGCGCAACTTATGAGCTTAAAGCTGGCAGAAAAGTTCCCAGCTGAATTGACAACAGAGACGTCACAGTGCTCTGGCAACAGCAATAATTTAAAAATACATATTAAAAATATATTGCTAATTTTTATAGCATTTCGGATATATATAAATATATATTTCAAATAGTTATAAAAAATAAATCTTTATAGATCTAAAAAAATTATGTTTCCGTTGTTAAAATAATGTTTTTATCGCTCTGAAAATAGATTATTCAGTATTACAAATAAGAATTTTAGACAGGCATTGCTTGTGGGACAATTTTCATAAGATTCAAATCGCAAAGTGAATAACTAAATTTGGTTGCTTATAGACTAAGCATGGGTTGCTATAGGTCGGTTGATCCTTCTATGTCAGACGTAGTTCAAGTTTTACTCTTCTTATTACTCATCAGTCAATCGGGCATATCTAGGACTTGCTTGGAACTAATCAAACCAAATAAAGTCCATGAAGACATCCCATTTCTACAAACATTTTTTGGGATACTGCTCACAGTCAGGACATCTCCTAGTCGAATAATCCCGCCTAGAACACTCTTATTTTCAAATGATATTCATCCCTGTTCTTACTTATTTCCAACTGAATTAAAGTTAGGAATTATTTTCCTTTTGCTTAAAGCTATCCGAGGCACCAGAGTCCTACGTCTATGCACCCTGCTGTTCTGTTTGGAACAAGTAGTCGATGGGAAAGAAAGGAAAAGTTTCTTATTTTCTGATTCCAAATATTTTTGTGGTCAGCTTTAAGCTGAGCCCAGCCAAAATAAGTTAAGGAAACTTGACCTAAAGACCTTAAAGACCTTAAAGATCGATGTCAGTGGGGAATTGTTGTTTAAAGAGACTTCATAGGCCATACCGTAATTCACATACAGCCCAAAAAGCTTGCCTAAGAAGGATCAAAATGATAGCCAAGTCTGGGGTATTTCTTTTCGTTCAACTGATTTGTATTTATAGAAGGATCCTCCCTGACCTGCCCCAGCCCGTGCGCTGCCTGTCTGCATGCGGCTGTCTGGAGCTGTGTGGCCAAGGGAGGAGAGCCACAGGGCTACGCATGTTTAGGCACGTCTGGTCGGTCAATCGAATGGTGTTGAGTCGCCTTTGTGTCCAGCATTGATGACGGTAATGAATTAATGCGGCACAGACTCTCAAATGAGCTGTGTGCTGTTAGGCGTTGCGTTTAACTATCCCCTATAGGCCACGGAGCACAGACTATGGACTATCGACCATAGACTCAAGCATAGCCGCAGCCACGAACTCCAATCGCAGCATGGCCACGCAGCAGCCGGATGAAATGAAGCACTGACTGCGCAACTATTTTTGGAGCGAACACCACAAAGTTATCAATTCTCTCTGTTTGGGCTGCGCACTTTTCCGTTGTGCTCGCCTCCACCCACGTCTGCTCGCGCCTCACGCCTGTCGCCTGCTTCATTCGTATTATTATATTTGTGCGTCTGTGCTATTTTCGGTCAAAGAAAGCCAAACGGGGAATGCAACCGCTTGACCCCGTTTCAACTTTACCGATGGGGCGCACGCCCCAGCCCGTTCTTCCACACGCCTTTCGAAAAGGGGGGCGAGCGGACGTAGGGACGGTCGGCTATGTTGCCAAGACATCCGCCCAGGCAGCCGACATCGGCGGCTCAGTTAATTACTCCGTCCGCATTTCCTAGCTGCAGCAGCAAGCGTTAATTTGATGGAAATTTGATGCACGATCTGCTCGATATTTGTGTTAATTTATTTGAGCAGCCTGAACGCTTCGCTTGGAGACGCTGCCAGCGCACGGTGGCATCAATAAAACTTAGCCAAAGCAAAAGAAAACAAAAACAAAAACCAAAATAAAAACGAACCATTTAATTTACGAGCCGTTTGTGTGTGGCCGAAAATTCTTGCTGTTTTATCGAAGAGCAGAAAGCTCTCTGGGGAATACCCAGAAGCATGTCGTTAAATTATAATAACCAATTTAGCAAATCATATTTCTTCTTGACTCAGCCGATTGACATTTCACTTGAAGAGCATTTCCAAATGCGTGACTTGCTATTGAACGATCGAGAACCTGTGAGCTCGGCATGGCTGAGGAGGCTGGCAACTGGGCTCACTTAGAGACTTGTCTAAAGATGACTTATGAAATCTGAGATGTGTTCATTTCTTGAGGTATCAAAGCCACTGAGAAAACTATGTTAGTTAACTCTTTATAAAAGGTTCAATCACTTGAATGGAATAAACAAAAAAGTTCTTATCGCAGTACTCAAGGACTAAAGACCGAGCACATAGTCAACTTGCCACTGTTCATATTGTTGTCGAGTATATTGATTATGTACAATCTCATCAAATTTGGAATACATACTGGTGGGTACCTTCAGCTTATACAGTGTTAAGAATTTCCCAATACGCCCTATTAGTTAACGAGCTAGAGACATGATTGAAAATTCAAGATATATATATATATATATATATATATATATATATATATATATATATATATATATATATATATACATATATATATATATATATATATATATATACATTTATATATATACCTCTTCAAGCTTTTAAAGCTGGTGAACAAGTATTAGTCAGATGATCGACGGCAACATTCGACTTTTTTTCCTTATAAGTTGTTGTCCTAGACTCTGAGCCTTATCCTTAACTATGGAGTGGGCCTATAAGCCAGCATATGCATATTGAATCTAGGTTTATTCATGCTCTTCTCTATTCTATTCAACAATATTGCAAGTTAATTTGATTAACCTGTTACTGCTAGCCAGACCAGATAACTGAGCTCTGCGACTATTTGCCTTTATAGCACTGATTCCTCATAAGCCAGTATAAGCTTATTCCAAAGTGTCAAGCTGATTGATCAGAAATGCATTCGCTTATAGATACTTATGACTCTTCTTCATAGCTTTAGATGTTGGCATTCTTTAAGTTTTGAAGACTTTCCCAGTCAGTTGCTGATGGATATTTTTTAATTAGAACTGGTCGACTGGTAGGACTCCCTCATGCATTTGAAATAATGCAAAAGTTGGCGCCCAGCCCAGATAACAACAAAGTGTTATGCACTTTTCACACTCGCATTTGGCTAATGTTTTTTGGGTGCATTAATGAGGCGAAGCTTATCTGGCATAGACTTTGCGCCGCCTTCGACTGCACTCAGTGACTGAGACGGCCACGAAGACCGAGACTGTGGCTGGCAATGAACAACTTTTGTCTTAATGGCCGAATTATGCAAAAAAAAAATGAGAGGGGAAATGGAAAAAATCTATGCTTTGTCTCGAGCAGCCAGCGCACGTAGACCCAAAACCAATTGAATTTTAATGGACACTCCGCAGCCGAGTTGGCATTATGGCAGAAGTCCACATGCACATATTATGGGTGGCAGCTGTCCATCATGAGGCTGCGACAAATGGCAGCATAATCAAATCGCCGATGGACGTCAGACAATTTGATATTTTCATAACTCCAGCTATCAGTCTTCATCCGGCGCAGGCCTTATTGATATGCTTCACATAGTGTCTGGGCGCACGAATCAAAAAAAATAAACACGCATAAATTCTATGTCCATGAGCTGAGTGTCCTGTGTGTCCTGGCTGTCCTGTGTGTGTGTGTGCCTTTGTCTGGCTGATTGCAACAATAATGAGCGGAAATCGCACAAGCAACAAGGAGACAACTAGACAAACAGCTGGACAACAATGCAAAGGCACACGTTGCGTCACGTACTCCGAAACTCAACCCAATCTCGACTCGACTCGACTCGGTTCGATTCAAGACTCGACACTCTGCGACTCCTTTTCTATTTGCATTCATTTCACTTTTGCCTTGGCCCAGCTTTTGTCCTTCCCCGATAGCTGCGTGGATGGGCGCCTGGATGCTGTTGATAGCTGCGGACGACTCGTAAGTGCGCGAAATAAATATGAGCATCATGTAAATAGTTTCCTCACAGCACAGTGGTTCGAATGCCATGATTACTTGCCGAAATAAATAAACTTGCCTCTGCATGAATTCCTAATAAGAAGAGACCATAAACCTGAGATAACCCTCAGCATGCGCCCCTAAAGCTCCTAAATAAATTTGAGTTTGACATTCAAATTCGATCTGCAGGCAAGTCCTAGCTGGTGCTTGTGTTGTTAGCTTATGATAAGTGCATCCTGTGCTTATAATAATTATTATTTTGTCATTCAAACTTAACACTCAAATTGTTGCCAATTGGCATGGAACCATTCGCGCTCTATTGGTACTTGCTGCAGCGACTTGCCAATTGCAATGGAACTGGAACTGTCACTGGGGCTGAGACTGAACAAACTATGAAAGTGTCCACTGTGTGTGTGGCTATGGGTGTGTGTGTGTGGTGTTTCTCCTCTGCCTGGGCCGAGCTGTTGGTCAGAAATTGCTGCAACAATGATGAGCGTCGAGCGTATCGAACGTCGTCGTCAGTTCATTGTTGTTTACAGCCGCTAACATTTACTCACTCACACAACAGACAGCTGAACGCACACACCAGCACACAGAGAGACACAACAAACAGCCGACCACCAAATGCAACACACAAAAACATATTCAGACAGAGACATCAACAAGCCGGAAGTGTGCGTGGCTCGCGAACGAGATGGCCGCACATAGGGCGAACGAGATAGAGAGAAGCAGCGACAAAAGCTGATAGAAATGGACAGAGAGAGAGAGAGAGAGAGAGCGAGCGAAAGAGAGAGAGAGAGAGCGAGCGACAGAGAGCGAGAACGTGAGCTAGCGA